TATAAAAATTATTTACAAACATTTTTTCCCTCTTCCATTTTCCCCTAAAATCAACTCTTGAAAAGATACACAAATAGGAAGAAAAATATGACATTTTTCGCATTTTTTTTTTAACATATTTTGCCGCCAAAAGTTAAGCCCACGTTTTTTATGCGCATAGAAAAATGTTCATTTCTAGTGATATTTGAAAGCCAAAAAGCCGAAAATCTCCATTCACCCAAACCAAAACAGATACCGCCTAGTCTATATGATTTTTTTTAATTTCATGGTTTTGTATGCATACCAGTTTTCCTCAAAGTTGAATAGTAAGCTAATTTTTAATGGAAACCTTTCATGATTAAAATCAATCGCAATGTTTTTACAGCATATGGCTGACTCAGTTGACAACAAGCGTATAATTCAAGGACAACTCATCACTATATGGAATAGTTTTGTACAACAGTAATTATCCTTCGTGTTCGTCCTCTTTGCACACCTTACCATCTTGTTCATAACCTCCGCTCCCTTAGAGGAAGACACGAGTACATGTCTCTCGCACCCAAGCAGACGAGCGCGTACGTCAGGCCAAAATGACAACTCCTTAGCCTTGTAAGCCATGTAAATTTTAAACATATCAAAGTTACCACGGCAGAGCACTCCCAAATCCGCGAACACGCATTTGCATTAAAAACCCAAACTCGTCGTAAAATTGGGAAAGTTTGCTCGCCCGCCCATTCAAGGCCTATCTGGAACACATAACTTATAAAAGCAAGAAGTGGCTTTTATTACATCACGTATGTAGATGTAATAGCCTCCCGGAGCCAAAGGGGCTTATTCCGAGTGAGTTTTCGCGAACGATGTAAAGGAGTGCGCCTACTTCCGAGTTAATGCCTTGGAGTTCCGCGTTTTTATTCGTGGAATGCGATTTGTGTTGCTTAGTATATGCGTGGTTTTGTTGTTTATAAAAGTACGCTCCATTCATAGTCACGAGGCTGTGGTCCCTTTATATTTGTTCGGTATTGGCTAAGTGGAATTACACTTTCATAGAAATATCTTGTATTCTTGCTGTTCTATTATCACCCTTGATTAAGACTATTCACGCAAAAACCTTGTAGAAAAAAATATCTTTCTGGTAGGTATATTTTGTAAACGAATGTTCGCGAGTAAACTAAATAAAACAACTGCAATATGACCAGCCAGACTTTCCACTTAAGGTGGAAATTGCATTTCAAAGATTCTAACTGATCTTAAATATAAAAAATTGACTTCATACGTAATCCACGATTTTTTTAAGGTGCCATGTTTTCTGTGTAGATTTATAAGAAAATCGTACTTAGATTCCGAAAATCTGAATCCCAAAAAGGTTGTGACCTTGAAGTATAAAAAACGCCTTGTATAATTTATGTAAAAACTGATTGAAGCAGGTAATTTAGAGCCTTTCAAAACATACGCCCACTAAATTTCAATACAGTATGTCGATTATTGGCAAAATTAATTTAAAATGTCTTCAACTAAATTTTAATTAACAAATACTTTTTAAAAAAATAAGAACCTATAATCTTCCAATTCGCATATTCCATTTTACACCTTGTATACAAGAAAAAATTTTATTAAACGGTATAAAAGTGTCAACAAAATATTTTAACTTAATCCTTCAAATTAAGCTACACTTAGGTACAGGATGATTCACTATATTTTGACCCCCCCTTTAACTTTTTTGTTTTATAGTTATAAAAAAATGTAAAATACAAATGTTGCATGAATTTTTATGAATTTTTCGAAAAGGGGTGTTCCATTTAAATTAACAAGTTAACATCAGCGGCCATTTTTTTTTGGACTTCAATTATTTTTCAACCATCATTTCCGAAAAATTCATAAAAATTCGTTCAACTTATTTCACATTTTTTTTATAACTCTTAAAACAAAAAAGTTAAAGGGGGGGGGAGTCAAAATATAGTGAATCACCCTGTACATGAAAATTGTTATGAAATTTGTAATTTCAAATAACGAAATACGTAAAATATGTTAGCACGTATGTTGTGCTGATCTCGACAACTTCAGAATTCAATTTTAATTAAGTTTAATTAATTAAACGAACCAGTCTTCCATGTACTGTTGGTAGAAACGTGGATCAACCCTGTTTAGAACAAATCTTATTACATTTCCTTCTCTGTCTCTCTAAGCTGTGGAAATTATTTTCAGTTTCATCAATCACTTTAAAAATAAAATTTCCAAATCAGCAGAAAGTAGGCAGGTACAATTTAATTTGTAAGTCTTACAATTTAAAAAGCTTGATAAAAAAAAACTAGGTATCAGTAAACTATTATAGACACTAACTTAGATTACTCTGTGCCCTAGTAAAACCATTCTCAAAAACCTCAAATAGGTATTAAAATAGAGCCACTAACTAACAAAAACTTTAGTCTTCACACGTAGACCTTTGTCCTCAGAGCATTATACAGCTACTGCCATCTACATTTTGATAGTTACACTTTTCGTTACTATTGGAAGGTTAGCGGATAATAGAAAATCAGTAAATGTCTGAAAAGCTGAATACTATTCAGATAATTAATTTACTAAACAAACAGATCTTATGAAAGAACCTTGACATACCTAATCGAAAAGAAAAGTATTGATTTTATGTAGACTATCGTGAAAGAATTCCATTGAGGAAAACAATGAGGTCCAAAATAATATAAGAGATGGCGCTACTTGTACTAGACTTGAGAATTAATGTTTGATAGCAATTTAGTTTTAACTTTAACATCATTTTTCAATTGGCACTTATATGATACATACCTACTATATAGTAGGTGATTCTTGTATTAAAATTCTATTCAAAATTTTCTAAAATTTAAATCGTTATATTTTTTGACGGCAAAACTCAAAGGCACGCACAACTGACATGAGATGACTGACATGACTAAAGAAGAAAAAGCATAAACTATGACATTCATTTTGCACTTTTTTATCCAGTTAATATTTTTTCATAACAATGTGAACATCAAAATTTCAAGTGTTGGAGGCAGACGAATGAAAGATGAAATATATCAGACCACTGATTCTACCAAGCCAATCCCCTGCGAGTCTCACCGGCCGCCCGGTAGAAAGAGAAACGAGATGTCCCGAATTTCAATAACTCAGTCTCGCTCAGTCTCCCTCGAAACTAACCAAGCCTTGTGTCGTGCAAAATCGGGCCATGCCGTGCCACAAGTTCTGAATCTACGACTCCAGATTTTGCTGTTAGATTAATACAAGTACAAGTTCCAATATTTTATCCAGTAATTAATCGGCAGTGTTGATTTGTAATTGTCGGAGTTTGGGCGATCTTCCGCTACGATGTCAACGGCATTGTTAGCCGCAATCGCTGTCATTCTGTGCATTCTTTTCAGGATATTGAATGTCAACAGCCAACCCCAAAGACCGTCGATATGGTGTTGTGACAATAAATTCCTAGATAACATTCTGAAAATCGCACCCCTCCTCAATGAAGAGTAAGTACTTTTACTTTTTTCTGCCTGTTATTCTTAATAACCGTGATGTAACGTCCATCCAACCATTACCTAGCCAATTTGAAATTTATTGATTTAGATTTCTAGGAACAATACTCACTGTTCTAAGTTTAACCGGTGATTTTGTTTGGATCGAAACTACAGTNGAATGACATGAAATGATTCATAATTGCAATTGTCAAAATTTATTCTACAAAATCTTTGTGGCGACATCTATAGACTCTTTCCCCAACTTGTATATCCATCTCAAGTCACGTGGTTCCCAGAGTGTCCCCATATTTTCAAGTATAAGTTCTCGGGCCCTGGGTCAAATTGACCAAACTAGAAGTGACTGTGATTTGAACTAACTTTAGTTTAAACAAAACACACATCTACTCCATTATAAATTTCGACTTTTGACGTCTGTTCAATTTCAGTTTAATTAGGTTGTTATAAATCATACTGTGCCCAACATACACAACAATCAATCAACATATCTTCTTCGGATGAATCCATAATCCATATCCATTATCAACGGCTTATTTTTATTATTTAGATTTATGATTATTATTATTTGTAGGTTATGTTTTGTTCGGTTATCCTGTTCACTTACTAACCATGATATTAGTCTAGGTTAGATCGGAAAAGGGAAAACTGATTTTGATCATATTTTGGTTTGTTCACTTGGTCAGAACTCTACTGAAAGTGAATTAACCTAAGTGACCAAGTGAACCCCTCTTAACAGAAAGTACTTTAAATCTAGGTATTTTTAATTATTATTTTGGCAGCAAATCCAAATATTGACTTGACAACAGTGTTGCCAACTGTGACGATTTTTCGTCAAAGTGATGATTTTTTATGGGGAAAAATTGCTATTGACGAATTGACGAAGAATTTACTCTTGTGANTTCTAAAATTTAAATCGTTATATTTTTTGACGACAAAACTCAAAGGCACGCACAACTGACATGAGATGACTGACATGACTAAAGAAGAAAAAGCATAAACTATGACATTCATTTTGCACTTTTTTATCCAGTTAATATTTTTTCATAACAATGTGAACATCAAAATTTCAAGTGTTGGAAGCAGACGAATGAAAGATGAAATATATCAGACCACTGATTCTACCAAGCCAATCCCCTGCGAGTCTCACCGGCCGCCCGGTAGAAAGAGAAACGAGATGTCCCGAATTTCAATAACTCAGTCTCGCTCAGTGTTGCCAACTGTGACGATTTTTCGTCAAAGTGATGATTTTTTATGGGGAAAAATTGCTATTGACGAATTGACGAAGAATTTACTCTTGTGACGATTTTTCTTTCGAAGTACATTATTGGACATTCATTTTCATTTATAATATTTGTATTTCACTATTCTGTTGTGGTTCATAAAAAAACCCAACATTATGCCAAGAAATTGCATTGGCATCCCTGCGAATGAGAATTGGCAATTGACAGTATTGACATAAGTGATTAGTGTTCTTTGTCTGTGATTATTTTATTCTGTGGTTCTTTGGAATTTAGAGGATGAATGGTTGTTATAAACATCAAACTACTAGAAAAAAATGTAAGTTAAACTTTAAAATCGAATAATATGGAATAAATAATCAAGCCAGCATTTATAGGGACGACCCGATTCTGGTTTTACATACTTCTGAGGCTGATTCCAAAAGCGATGCATCCACATTTCCCTCCGAAACTTCCACTCCAGGTTCATCAAAACAAAATAAAAGACCTAAACTCACCGCAGAAGAACACGCACCAAGAACATTTAGAAATGAATGGCTAAATGATAAACATTATTCTGGTTGGCTAAAAAAACTCACAGATAATTTAAATAAATTTTCATGTGAAGCTTGTGGCTTGGAGTTAAATTTGACTGGCGGTAAAAGTTGTTTAGATAGACATATGACCACACAAAAACACATAAAAAATGCAACTACTAAAAAAAATACGAGATCAGTTTATGATTTATTTAAAAAGAACTCTGAAACGGAACAATATCAACAAAAAGTGGCCGAAGCAGAAATAAAATTATCGTTGTTTTTTGCATCTCATAATATTGCAATTAACCTAGTGGATGATATGGTTGATCTCTTAAAAGATATTGGTAAGGATCCGAAAGTTGTTAATGACATCAAATTGGGGAGGACAAAATGTACGAACATTATTGAAAATGTATTATGTGGCAAGGAAACTAGGGATCTTGTAGAGGTATTAAAAAATAACTATTTTAGTGTTCTTATCGATGAAAGTACAGACATATCGGTTCAGAAGTTCTTATGTGTTCTCGTGAGATTTGTGTGTCCTGTTACAAAAAATGTAAAGACAGATCTTTTGGAAATGATCAAATTAGATGCAAGGCTAGTGACAAGTGAAAAATTGTATGAACATTTTAGTAGAGCACTTACTGATAAAAGTATTCCATTAAGCAATATTATAGGATTAGCCAGTGATGGGGCAAATGTTATGTTAGGGGACCATAATTCATTCAAAACCAGGTTGTCATCCGACTCTACTGTACTTGTGGTGCTCAAATGCATTTGTCATAGTGCTGCGCTTGTTGCTAGTAAAGCATGCAAACAATTACCGCGAACACCAGAAGACTTAATTCGCTCTGTAGCAACCTATATTAGTGGAAGCGCAAAAAGATGTGCGGAATTACTTGAATTTCAGGAGTATTATAATGACAAAAAATTAAAAATTTTACACTTATCAGGTACTCGTTGGTTATCGATGTATCAATGTGTGGAAAGATTTTTAAAAATGTGGGACATTTTAAAATCATACTTTCAGGTTGCTCTTGTCGAGGACAGGTTAAAACAGCCAGAATTTATAGTTCAATCTTTAAATGATGAAACTAAAACTTATTTTTATTTTTTGAAATTTGTGCTAAATTATATGAATGAGTTCAACGCTCTCTTTCAAGGTAGAAATATATTAGTTGGGGATTTGGCAAAAGAAAGTAAAAGGCTTTTTAAGAAAATAGGTCAGAATTTTTTAAATAACTTAGACTTTAATATAAATGTATTTCATCCTCATAGTCTGTTACCACTGGAAAAAGTTTACTTGGGCCCAGATTGTGAAAATCATTTACAAAAAATAAAACTTAATATTGGTGTAGAAAATGATATAAGGAAAAATTGCTTGAAATTTTATCAGGTGTCGGTCAATGAAATTCAAAAACGTTTGCCATTGACAAACAAATTTTTTGAAGAATTGTATTTTATTAATGTCACAGAGGCATTAAGTGAAAACAGAACAACTTTATCAGTTGGTTCTGTATCTGGCATTTTTGCGCCTTTGTTAAAAAACCATGCAGCTGTTGATATAGAAAGAGAATGGAGAAACCTACCTTATCATTTTGATGAGTATGAAAAAAATAAAATGAAAGAAATGCCGGTTGCTGAGTTTTGGGAATTTTTATTTAATGTTTCCAATTTTAATGGTGAATATTTATTTAGAAATATAGCCTACTTGGCTAAATTAGTTCTGACTCTGCCCCATTCCAATGCAGAGGCTGAACGCATATTTTCTATAATGAATGATGTTAAATCGAAAAAAAGAAATAGAATGGGAGAAGATCTATTGAACTCTATTTGTGTGATTAGATCAAAGCTCCAGTCAACTAATATAAGTAATACCAGTGACTATAATGTAACTCAACAACATATTGATTTAATGAAAACTAATATGTTGTATAAACATAAAAAGTAAGAATTTGTTTTAATGCCAATGAATTGAGTTACATATTATTTTTTTGTGCAATTTTTAATTAGTTTTAAGCTTAAATATCCTTCCTTTTTTATAATATAACTATAGGAAGAGTGGCTTTAATTTTTTGTTCTATTTCAAACTTGTTATTATTTGTTTCAGGTTTATATATTTTATTTATTTTAATAAAGCGATTATAGCGGTTTTATTTTTGTTTTATTTCAAATTTGTTAATAAAAATACTGCATTTTGTTTTTTTAGTACATTTTATTACTTTTTTAAAATCTGTTTATTTAAATATGCAGTAAATTTCAAATTTGCCGGGGGGTGACGAAATGTGACGAATTTTAAAGATCGTCATGAAGAAATTTGCGTTCTGGAGGTTGGCAACATTGCTTGACAATGACAATTGACATTTCAAGTTTTCAAATATTTTGTGGTTAAATGGTTATTGTTTATTTTTTTGAGAGATAATTCCAGAGATCTAGAGGCGATTCCAATAATGGTTTATTTGGTGGATCAAAATTAATCGTAGGATGGCATGTTCCAGGGATATATCAAATGATATTGAAACTGAAGATATATTATCAAAACATAGTAAAATTTCACCAAATCTTAGAGAAAAACCTTTATCTCCAGTCCTTACTGGCGGTTTAAGTAATAGAAGATTTTTAATTAGTAAGAGGTTAAATCGTAAAAAGTCTACTAGAGTTAAACTTACTAATAGATTTAAAGAAAGTGATGAAGGATTATTAGTAGTTAATCCTATTAATGTATCTCTGCCTGTATCTTTTGATGATAATTTATCTGCTAGTCAAACTGAAACGTTAATTGATCATCTAAATAAATTAGAAGAGTTGGATAATAGTAGGAAGAAACTTTATAAATTATTAATAAGGGATGATGGAAAAAATGATAATTTAAAAAAAATTCCTTCACCTATCCCTACTAAACTTAATGAAACCCAAAAATGTGAAATAAGTGAAAAAAATATAAATGTAGAAAATGAAAGCAGCTGCCAGAGATCTGTGCTAAAAGTAACTCCTATTTCTCCAAAGAATCTTTCAACGGGATTTCAAACGGCCAAAGGGAAAAGTATATGTGTTTCTGAGATAGATGTAAAGAAACATTCTAATTTGTTTAATGATATAATTTATCCTACAAGGAGTTTTGGAGAGGGAAGACAGAACAAACATACTTTTCTAAGCAAACAGAATTGTAAACAAAATAACTTCAAATGTGATGTAAACTTCAACTTGGGTGATTGTAATTTAAAATGTTCGAAAACTGACAAAGTTGTTACATCAGTACAATCTAGTTATTTGGAAAACTGTTTTACAAAACCTAGTTCAAATATCAACATATCTGAAAAAGCAATAGTACAAGGCAAACATTTTTTTGCCGAAGAAGAGTTCAATGATATTAAATTTAATAATGAAAATCTGTGTGGATTTAAAACAGCGAGTGTGCATACATTTATAAGTGCAAATGCATGTAAAGAAGGAAATAATTTGAAAACTACCAAAGATGATACATTTTCTTTAACACAAGCAATATGTGACTCAGGAATTAGCAATACACAAATTATTAACGCTTTTGATAATATTTTACATCCTGTGGAGAAAGATGAAGATTTTCGAGGATTTACAAGAGCTGATATAAAAGAGTCGTGTACAAAACTTTTAAACATGAATAATTCTATTGAACATAGTCTTAGAGGTTTTTCTAGAAAGAGAAAAAGAAGTAAATCTTATTTAGATAATTATATTTACAATAGAGAAGAACGTAAAAGTGAAAAAGATATTTTTGCACCTAGGAAAAAGCAACGAAATTCGGAAAATACTTTAAATGATGTGAAAAGTAAAGATAATTTATTAGTAACAAATAATAATAGCAGAGGTTTTGCAAGTGCATCAGGAAAGCCCATAACTATATCAGAGAAATATTTGAAAGATGCCGAGGCTATTTTTAACAATGTGGAATTCAGTCTTTGTCAAGATAAATTAATGCTTGAAATTGAAGACTTTTCAAAAAATAAAGTTGTAAATAATAATTCATGTATGAATTTTCAAAAAGCTTCGGGAAAATCAATTAACATATCAGAAAATTCCCTAAGGAAAGCAAAAAACATATTTGACCATTTAGATGTAGACATTTCTAATAAAAAATTTAATAACGAGTCAGTAGTTTCTGAATTAACTGTTCAGAGTAAAGAAAATGAAAAAAAATCTGAACATTTTTCTAACGACACTCAAAATCCATTTATATTTTGTAATAATGATGTAAAGCAATCTATTAATATAGGTTTTTCTAAAGCTTCTGGCAGAGAAGTAAATATTTCTGAAAATGCTCTTAATAAAGTAAAAAATATATTCGATAATTTGAATATAGATTCTCTTACGAACGATGATCAAACACTTGTTGGACAGTCTTCTACTACTTCTCTCAAGGACAATGTGAAAGCAGAATGTTTTAATAAACATGAGAATTATTCAGTAAATGACTTGTCTGTTCAAAATATGTCTAAAAAGTTTTCTGTATCACAAGAAATATCACTTGGAGAATTTACAGCTGCAAGTTTACACAAGCCTGGAGGCTCCAATCAAAGTATTAAAAGCAGCAAGAGAAAATTAGGAATGTCACACTTTAGACCAATGCAAATTTGTGACAACAAATTAGATAAGGCTAAATTGTTATTTGACGAAGATTTCTCAGGAATATCTCCTATAAAACCGAAACGAATTGCCACCTACACGTCTACTCCTATTAAGCAGAACGATTATTTGATTCCTGTTAAAAACGACTGCCCAAGACTAAAGAACAGCTTTAGTAATTTTGTGGACGAGGCAGGTATAACTCCTATAAAAAAAAATGTTGAAAATATACAGGCAGAAGTTCCATTTAACGCCAATTCAAAAATAGTGTGTATGTCTCCTTCAAGGGAAGATTTAATCGAAGATTTGGAAAAGGAAAGAAAAAAACTGGAATGCCGATTAAGGGTTTTATTAGAAAGAGAGAAACTTGCACATGGGGCACTACACCGACTTCAAATAGGAAAGTCAGCCGATGATAAAAAGTTAGTAGATAATGTAGTCAGTAAAGTAATTTTAGTAACTACTTACTAAAACTACTTAAAAAAAGTCATTTTAAAAAAAAATATTTGAGAATGTGCAACGATAGTTTTATGTTTGAAGGGGCGGCATATTATTATTATTCAGTAGGTCGCATGTTACGCCCTGAAATATGAGTATGATTGAATTTGTTTTAGGATTTGAAACCTGCATACTTATAATATAAGTATACACTTACACTTATAAGTATTTTCCAACAATTCGTTTGAAAGATGGTTTTGTCGTGATTGTTTAATATAATAATAGGTTGTTAAATATGAGAATTTATTACAATTTTTATTTACTATTTACCAATTTAAATGTAATACCTATTTATATTTTTACATCTATTGTTCTTTTTATCTTTATTTATGTTACTTCGTTCTGGTATACTTTAATATGTAATTCGTAGACTTGTATACAAAATTTTCTTGGTATTCAATCCTTTGTCGACATTATGGAAGATAGTTTTTGAATCCTAAAACAAATTCAAGGAAAAATAATACATTTTTATAACAAAAAAAATAATAGAAAAATTTGAGTTTGAAAGGTATAATAATTTTTGAATGGGAAAAAATGTAGTTTCTATAAAAAAAAGTATCAGTCATATTTGTAATTGATGAAAAAAATAAACATGTTGAATTAGATGGCCTATATCTCGGATAAGGTGCATTTCTAGACCAGGATTAATATAAACTTTTATGATTATTTTAATCTAAATTTTATGCATTTCGTCATAGAACACCCAGTAGGTATAAGACTATCGATTCTATTTCAGGTCGAGGAAAGGACTGTTATACAGGACTAAAACTATCAGCAATAGAAAGTCTTTGGTTGCTTTTGTGAACAATGAAAAACCTGGCGAGATTACTACGAATACTGGATTACCTATTAATGCAAAGAATGCGGAAAATGTACATTTTACAAAGTAACTACTACCAATTTCAGCTTAGATAAACAGCTTTTATGATATTAAGTATGTTTTATTTCTTAGACAAACCTATGCATCTACTATAACTGAGGATGGGGCAATTATTATCCCTAATTCAAGAGACATGGTGGGACTACCTGAAATCAAAAATGCTTTTGAAGCTATGCCAGGAGTAGAATCACGGCTAATACCAAAAGGATGGATAAACAATCACTGCAAGTGGATAGTATGGAAATTAGCTAGTTATGAAAATATGTTTCCGAATAATTTTGGGGGATGTCTGAGCATTGAAAATATTATCCAGCAACTCAAATACAGGTATTTTTTTTGTAAATATCTGTAAGGTTTATGAAATATGTTTATTTTCAGATATGATCGTGAAATTGATAGGGCAGAAAGATCGGCACTGAGAAAGATTTGTGAAAAAGACGACGCTCCACAAAAAAGAATGATTCTCTTCGTTTCAGATATAAAAATGGTACCTAATAGATTTTTAATTTTGTAATAGTTTTTGTTAGCGTGAGACATTTTGTCCAGTGCAATGTACCTAGAAATTGTTCATTCTCTAAACTACATACCTAACGTTGTTTATTTCAGCTAGACACAAGGAAGTATGAATTAGAATTATGCGATGGATGGTATGCTGTACGAACAATCATAGATGAACCCTTATGTAATCAAATAATTAAGGGAAAAATTGAAATAGGTACAAAGCTATTAATTTCAGGAGCTGAGCTTTTAAACTGCGATGGATGTCATCCCCTTGAGGTATTTTAATACAGATTAACTATTTCCTTAATGACTATCGACAGGGTTCATAAAAATTATGATTTTTTTAAAATAGTTATAATTTTGTTTCCTGTTTTTAGCCTTACTTAAAATTTGGTCGCATATTTAAATTTCGTAAAAATTATTAGTTCACTAGAAAGTCATTGCATTTAAAAACTTTTTTCTCTCGATACTTGTTTCGTAAAACGCAATGTTTTCGAGAAAAATGGCAAAATGTGATGCGTATCGTGATTCGCCATTTATCTCAGATTACGAATGTTACTTTTTAGGCAACGAATTTGTTATGTTTAAAAATAAATTGTAACTGCACACGAAGAGCCATTTGGCACGCCAAGTTAGGATATCAGCGAAATTCGAATCCATTTCCAGTCCAATTACATAGTATCTACCCGCTTGGGGGCACCATAGCAGCTATAAAAGTTTGTATCGCTCGCGTGTACCCTCTTAAATATATGGAAAGGCTAGAAGGTCGCTCAGGTACTTAAATATTAAGTTTTAATTTTTTTAAATTCACAAACATCACTGTACACTGAATGAATCCACATTCAGTTCGATAATAATTTGTTTATTTATTTATTCTTTTTCGTTTAGTGATGTAATACTTGTTTTTGACATTAAAAATATTTAGAACTCTTTACTAAACTTTTATATAAAAATGGAGATAAAAAAAATAAGTTTTAATTGTTCTTAATATTTCATAAAACGTTTTAGTCTGGCGAAATAGAAAAGCTGAAGAAATAGTGGCACAAAAATGGGAAAATGAAAGAAGTAGGAAGGTGGAACAGATCGAAGATGAAGTGAGAACAAAATTTAAAAAATCTGCAGAATCATTAATTGAACGTCAATCTTTTGATTCTGATATACGTACTATTACTTGTCCAAAACAGCTATATGATATATTAGAAAGGAGCAACGATGCAGAAAATCTTCAGGTAAAATTTAAAAATAACGTATTTTCAAATATAAAAAATGTATTAGTGCACAATGTTTTCCTTTTTAGCAAAATTTATCCGCTTCCCAGAAGGAAGCTGTTTTAACTTATCAGAGTAACTTAACCTTGAAGAAACAACAAGAAATTGCCGCAGAGGTAAGTGTGTCCGTTTCAAAAATGAAATTGGCGAAAAGGGATGTAGTTGCGGTGTTGAAGTTACTCGTAATCGACGTTATTGGAGATTCGGATAGACCTTTTAGTTTCTTCATTTGGCGTCCTACAGAGGTACATATGCAGAGCCTAAAAGAGGGAAAATCGTTCACCATACAAAACGTATTGCCAAGGTAGATAAAAATTTTTAAACGAGTAAAAAAGATGAAGGGGCGGAATGTTATGTGAAACCCCGTAGATATAATTCAAATTATTTTTTAAGCATTAAACACCCTTTGTTTGCAGGCCCAACGGAGATTTAAATTCTACTATGAAAACTACGTTTCAACACGATACTGTCAGTAACAGCAAGCATGTTAAATATAAAAGACGTTTAGTGTCTCTCGAAGAACTAGTTAGATTGAAATCAACACCATATTTCAATGAATTTGATACAGTAGGAATTGTGGTTCAAACCAAAATTGAATCTCATAGGCAGGAAGTGTGGATAACGGACAACGCAAGAAGGTAAGAAAATTTCAATGGTTTTTTGCTTTCACTTTTTGTTATTCCTCGTTATCGACATCTTCAGTGGTGGCTTTGCGTGCACCGTTAGTCCTGTGAAGTGGGGTAGAGGGTACCTCGGGTACGTCCCATAAGTTTTCTTGGTATTGGTTGCTTCAACTAAAATGGTCTTATCGAAATTTCCAAAATACACAATGTGTAAATTTAGTTCGTAATTATTCAATATGTCTGGAGTTATTATAGTTAGAAAAGTTTTTGGGGCGTCATATAATATCCATAGTGATATATGACGTTTTAAAGATAATTTTGATTCTACAGGATGTTCTATACTAAAATGCCGACACAAACAAGTATGTATATTTTTAATGGAGTATGTACATCTATTTTTACATAATTGAAATTTGTGCAAAATTTCACTTACATTATGGATTTTATGCATATTGCTTCAGTAATTTTTTGAATATTTATTAATTTATGCAAAGTTTACAGTTTTTTAAACAGTACTATAAAAAGTATTGAATGAAGCTAATTTTTTTGAACTTCAAGAGTGTGCGTCTCGATTTTTTTTAATGGAACCGTTAATGGAACTTTATAGATGCGAAGTCCATCAAAATGTCTTACGATACATCATACTGTATGCACTCCTTTAGTTTTATTAAAAAATTAAAACTACTCAGCATTGGCAGTTCGCCAGTTGGCGCAAGGGACGACTGCTTCACTTAAAATTTCCGTTTGGCTGTACACTTTAAAATTATTTTTAATTTTATATAAATTTTATAATTCAGGTATAATTCTATATTGAAAATGTATTGTGTTTGTTTTATATACAGAAATAAATAGAATAGTTGCGGGAACATCAACCTCGTACCATACAACGTATAGTATAGTATAAGCAAGTGAAGCGGATTGAAATCAGTCTGTATTCCGCTTCTCTTTGTAGCGTTGTTTACGGTGGTTGTCATGGTAACGAGGTGGCCGACACGTGATTAAACTACGGCGTGGGGGAACGAGTGACGCGGAAATTGAAGCAGCGTTGTTATCGGCTTTAATCAGTTTATACAATACGTCACCCAGTGCATGATTACAATGGTTCTTTGTTAATATTTGTTTTATATCAATAATTGTAGAAATGTTTCCTATTTTCCTATATATGATTCAGTATGTATTTTATTGGAAATGCCATTTTTCAGATGGAAAATTAAGGACAAAAAGGATTTTTTAAATTGCGAAAGACCTGTGCCTTCTCTCGATCTGGAAAAAATCCTTCTCGCGAACGTCAGTTTTTCGGTAATAAGTTTCCAGATTCATTTAAAGCCATTTGACTGAAAATTTTCGCGCATTTTTTTTTTTTATATACTTCACCTATTCCCAATGTCGCAAGCCGTCACTGCTAGTCAATTCAAGCATACATTTTGATACAAAAAAAAAATTAACAGGAAAGATTCAGGTATTCTTAGCGATGCCTATAGTAGGTAAAAAAACAGGCTCATATTCATATTTGGCTTCTTCAAAAAGCCTTTGTACCAAATTTCATTGAAATGTCTTAATAAACGTCGAGTGATCCTAAAAAACGAAACATTTTTTTTAGTGCTGATAATTGTTTACGGAAATAAGATTGTGTTTTGTTTATTTTCACCCAAAGAAGCTACTCTTGAAATACATCACATTCTTTATTGGGTACTCTGTATGGCTATTCAAAAAATTCCAAAATTAATTACCTACTTTAAATAGGACCAATTAGTTGTTTTATAAAACTTCCAACGAGAAATATGTTCATATTTTTTTAGGTTACTTCACGTTTCAGTATATGAAGGCCCGGGCACCTGTTCGTTACTGGACAATTTGAAAAGAGGCCAACCTACAACAGTTTGTAATTTGGTCTATCGAGGCATAAAAAAAGATATCGTACAAGCCGTTGCTAATCACTTCACCGTATTTTCTTCTTACTCTCAGCATAGGCATTTACAAGAAGGGCTCGATACGTTAAAAAAGGAAATGGCGAAGGTAACCGACAGCTTTTTTGTGTTTGATGGCGTTCATTTGTATATATAATTAATTATTTTTAGGATGTGCAAAGTTTACTTGATGACTGTGATAACAAAATAGAAGTGTTTAGAATTATTACCGATATAAATAGTTTTTCTGGAAATTTTAATGTTACGGACGAAGATACGTTCACTGCCGGAACATCATTGTTTACATAACTTAGGATACTGGATATGTTTACTTACGAAAATGTAATTTATTTTTGATATTCTGTATTTGCAGTCTTGTTGATTTATTATAAAATAAGGAAATGTTTCACGTTATTTTTTATTTACCAACTGAAATTTTGTTTTTCGTAAAAAGACTAGAAGGTAGTCCTTTTTTAACCACTTGAATCCATTCTCGTTACCTAGGAAATCTACCTGCACATCTATTTTTCAATAATAGTTCCCTTTCGTCAACTACGAATTGGAATAATAAATAATAAAATTATAATTGTTCAAAATGGTTTGTGGTAGGTTGTTCTTTAGTTCGATTCAAAACCTCTTCCTTAATCACCACTATCCGTGGATGTGAACTTCCTACATCTGGTTCAAAGTTGCCTTTTTCTCTTAACCGACGATGGATTGACGAAAATGTTGGTCGGCAAGGACATTGGCAATTCGGAAAGCGTTCAGCTTCTCTAGCATTGCATCTTGCTTTGCCATAAATAAGATGCATGTCTGCATACTCTTCAAACGCAAATTGGTCCATTTGAACAACTTAGAAGCAAAATTTCGTCGAAAATAAAATAAATGTGAAACACTCGGTTAGATCCGATCATTTATTACGTGGCAGCTCTGTTCATTTGTTTCACTATTCCCCACAGCGTGACACAGCTGACATTGCATGGCTAGATTAGATGTGTGGAATAGAAAATTTATCACATAGTTGCGGATAAAGTCAATAATTTTTACCAACATTATGTGTAGGACATGCAGTTGGTAAACACTTATCGGAAGAGATAAACGTGTTTATTTTGTTTCAAATCATTTTTTGCGTTATTTTGAATAAAAATTACTTAAATATTAGTCTTTTGGTGTCACCGAGATAACATTATTTTCTACAAAAATTTCTACCACAATGTCCTCTATATGCCTCTCAAGTTTGTCAACACTTTTTTGAAACACCCTGTATATAAGAACAAATTACGTGAGCAAATTCGTATTAAAAATTTCATGCCATCTATTTTAGAACATTTTTTTCTATACAATTTGAGATTAGAGAGTAATCTCCTCAATGAATGATGTGACATTTTGATTTTATGGAATAAATGGATAAACAAGTATTTCTTTCGTGATAACTGTTGTCCGACTTAATAATGTTAGATTGTTAGCGGATAGTAATAATATAAAATATTTACAACTTACCTGATGTAACGTGTCCATTTTAAAAGTTAGTTTTGATAAACTAATATAGTTGGATCAGTGTGAAGAACTGAGCTGTTTAATCAAGTTCCAAATTTAAAGCTGGAATTCCAAGTTAAACGTTGGAATTTCGAGTTGAAAGTGGGAATCTGAGTTTTTTAAAATAATTATGGGTGTTATATTTTCCCTAACAGATAAAAAGTGGTACCTACTACCCTTCAACTTTTTACGGATTGATTGAAGTTGAAAATAACATCCAGGATAAAAGGATGTAGCTATCTGACAAGAGGATGTTACCAGTTGCACTTTTCAGATGCAATAGGAAACTTTATTTCTACTTATTTGAATAGAATGCTTTGTACCAATTACAGTAATATACGATTTAAAGGGCCTGTCTCTAATACTAAGAGATATACCATGCTATGAACATAATGTGTTAGACAAAGACCTGGTCGCTGAACAACTATTATCTCTCTAGCATATCGTATTCTTTTAAATCTACTTTACTGTTAGAGATGGTCCCAGCAAACTATACAGGGAACTGAAACTCCGGGAGTTTCATAACACCCTGTATATCACCCCAATTGGAAAAAGTGCTCCCTCCAAATAAGTAAAAGTACACTATATTTTTACTTATTTGGAGAGAACACTTCATTAAATTAAATAAGGCCTCTATTTTGTCTGAAGCCCTGGCAAAGATCAAACAAATGCTTTTACCCTTGGATATCAAATTTCAATTAGAGACAGCGTATAAAAGTTACAGAGGGTACGCTATTAAAAAAAAAAAACATCCAAAATAATAATAATAACTGCATTCGAGAATAATTTTTAAACTGAACTTTTTTTCACTTGATGTTTGCAAATTTTTCTATTATTTTTCAAATAATACACAATTCTAAACTAGGAAACGATATATCATCACTGATCTATAGGGAGACGTAAGCGCCATACACTCGATTTGAATAACTTTGCAGGAAAGTAACAAAGAAAGAATTGTTTATGATGGGAATTAAATATCTTTACGCAGATAACTATTAAACCATCTGGACTTCGTACACTAAAGATTTCATATGTCTCGACAGGTAGAAATTGCACGAATAGAGTTCTGGTGCGTGAGGACACCATAAAACAGGTCCAGTGTTCCACTCATCAGGAAATGTTTCGTTTAAAAAATTGCGTATTTTGTATTGGACGTTTGGTGGAGCCCTGTCATGCAAAAACCACATGTTGAATATTAAACAGTAGATTCTCCAAAGAACAGGTAAATTATTTTGTAAAAAATATAAATAAGTGTCTATAAATAAGTTAATCTCTTAGACCAGGGTCGATAATTTTTGAAACAAAAAAAAATTATAGTAGGATAGAACCCATTGGAAAAGAAAGAGAATATAACAGAAATGAAAGTAAAAATAATTTACGGGCGATCTGAGGTCGGGAAGGGGTAGGAGGTGAGTTTTTAAGGGTAAAAAACGGTTTCCCTTGATTTCCAGAAAAACTACAAGTCTTATGGAAAAAAGTTAAATGACAAAGTTGTAGGTAATAAAAAGATCTACAACTTTTGTATTTACACTTTTTTCACATAACCTCAAAATTTATGTGAAAAATTCAAATAACCAAGTTTTTGGTTTTTTATTTTTATCTTTTACAAAAAAATTTTTTTTTCACGAAATTTGGTGAAAACTTACCTATTTATGTCCCAAACACGCTGTAATTTTTTTGATTTGAAATATTTATTTTTTCACCTTATTTTTACTTAATATCGAAAAAGCACCCTAATTTTCAATCGAAAATTCTCACGTCAAAATATCTGCTTTTTTAAAAACGTCGGTGGGCTTTTTCTTCGTTGAAATCTCTACTTTCTGATGGTGTAAAAAAATATATACATTACTATGGTAAGTTTTCTCAGGAAATGCAAAGAAACGAACTAGAATCCGAAAATTTTTTTCTAATCATTATGTACAATTTTGAGCTATTTATTAAAATTTACACTTTAATTACTCGAAAAACGTAAGATTCCATGTTACATTGATAAACAAAAAAATTACAAGTCGAAATATACTATTATAATTAACAACCAAATAAGTTAATAAAGTTAATATTTAATAAGACATCTACAATATTTTGAGAAAGTTGTAGAATCTTCTTTCGTTTCTTTGCATTTCCTGAGAAAACTTACCATAGTAATGTATATTTTTTTTTACACCATCAGAAAGTAGAGATTTCAACGAAGAAAAAGCCCACCGACGTTTTTAAAAAAGCAGATATTTTGACGTGAGAATTTTCGATTGAAAATTAGGGTGCTTTTTCGATATTAAGTAAAAATAAGGTGAAAAAATAAATATTTCAAATCAAAAAAATTACAGCGTGTTTGGGACATAAATAGGTAAGTTTTCACCAAATTTCGTGAAAAAAAAATTTGTTTGTAAAAGATAAAAATAAAAAACCAAAAACTTGGTTATTTGAATTTTTCACATAAATTTTGAGGTTATGTGAAAAAAGTGTAAATACAAAAGTTGTAGATCTTTTTATTACCTACAACTTTGCCATTTAACTTTTTTCCATAAGACTTGTAGTTTTTCCAGAAATCAAGATAAACCGTTTTTTACCCTTAAAACTCACCCCCTTCCCCTTCCCGACCTCAGATCGCCCGTAAATTATTTTTCTTTTCATTTCTGTTATATTCTCTTCCTTTTCCAATGGGTTTCATCCCACTATGATTTTTTTTTCACTTTTTACCATTTTTGAAGGCTTAAGCACTGGTCTATCTGTGGTAGAACGAGAAGTCCAATTATGATAACATTAACAATCACTGCCTATGATTTAATTGATTTAATTGAAAATCTGTGACGGAAATTCATTCATCAGACCTTATAAAATTTTCAATCGACTATATGTGGCTATCAAGAAAGTTCCATCCATCTAAATGTTGCCTTATTGGTTACCGATACATATTTAGTGAAACTTTCATTCTCATTGCTTTGTTCTAATAATCGCTCATAAAATGTGTGTACACGATGAACATGATATGGATACAATTGAGGGTTTTCTAAACTTTATTGTGGAATGAACTACCCTTACGAGAAATTAATCTGGTGCTACTTGTTGGTTGATCTTCGAGAACGTTGAGAATTTATTCTTCAGTTTTTAATTTTATTTAATATAGAATGGTTTTCTATGGGTCAATACTTTTGACACTGGTTATCGGACCAAAAATACTTGAACCCATTACGATGATCCTGGTAATCCATGGCCTGCCGAGATTTTTTAAAATAATTTTGGAAAAATTCTTTAAGTATTATCTAATTAAAAATCTACATGGAATGCAGATAGAAGTTGGTCTTAGTCTATGCCAGCGGTATTTAAACTGTGTTTCGAGGAACCCTGAGGTTCCCCATAACCTCTCTGGGGGGTTCCGCGACTGTCAAAAATTCAAAATATTGAAATTAACAATAGTGATACTACATATACAACAAATATATTATATAATCAGTAAAAAATGTGTTGGAAAATTTAAAAAAAAATCGAAAAGTTGGCAGGGTTCCGCAAGTCGTAAAAGTTTGAAGGCCGCTGCTCTATGCTATTCTGCATGGAACAATGTTGAACCTTTCCTGATGGTAATATCGTATATGACGTTTTTAAAAACCACAAATTAATCCTTATTAAAAGATATGAGGAAAAACATTACATCTACAGTTTTAACAGAAAATGTTGAAGATATTCGATAAGGAATCGTGGGAAGTCCAAAGAAACCTGTTTTGCAGTCACAGGTACCGCAATAAATGAATATAGTTTGAACTATGTAAATTTTAATATGCATTAATTCTAAAAGAATTTTGTGGAAATTTTTTTGTCGCTTACGCGGGTTTTGGAGATCAGTGACGATATATATGTAGAAGTATACATAAAATCATACATGCAAATAAAAAATATATATATTTCAAAACATAAATATAATATACAAAAAACATAATGCTTTATAACTTAAATATTTTATGAAATAAATAAAATTTATTGGTTTTGGACAATTGATAACGCGTGATAAATTTGCTGCATTAAGCTTTATTTTTTAAGTCCATTAAGTAAATTTTCAGTATCAGGATTTTGATATTTTATTTAATACATCCCAATTTACATATGTATAACATTCATTAGTTAATGTATAATTAGTTTTTGATCATAACTCCTTATAAACCTTATATCAATTGGAATCGTTGTATTGTAAATACTGCTGGAAGCAATTAAATCATTAGCCACTTTAATTATAAAGTTATAAATATTTGAAAATAGTTGGGGAAACTATAATGTAATACTATTAACAGAATTTGATTTAAACCATTCGCGTACTCGGATCTTCTAGACAGGGCAATTTGTTTATCGTACCATCACCTTTACACAGCATTTAAAGCATATTTTTTATCATGACGGAATTTCAGATATTCCCAAAATATTTATTTGAATTCAGCCATTCAGAATTTAATACAAATGTAGACTATGATGACAAATATAAAGTTATATAATAAAAAAATTTAATATAAAGATAAACTTTCGTGTATGTAATAGTCAATTATGTAAATTGAAGCTTTACTATTTATATACAGGGTGATTCATTAACAGTGGGAAAATCGAAAGCTGAAGGTATCACACGTGAAATGGTGACCATTAACGCAAACATGCTTTATCTCAAAGTTGACAGTTTCGGAAATACAGGGTGTTGAAAGCTAAAATATGTAAGTTAGAAACTTGAAAATTTGTGAAACTATATTTTTTTAAGCAACGGATAAGATGTGTGTTATAATTTCAGCGTTGATAGAGGGTACCGTTTACGACCAATTTTACCGAAAAGTTAGTTAATAACTTTTAAAAGAGCAATAATTTTTCCATTAATTATGTATTCTTGTTTCATTTGGGTATCTCGATCTGTTTTCGAGTAAAATCGATTTAACGAATACTATGTTTTGATAATACGAAAAATTAAGTGAAACAAACCAAGTGTTTCTTCATGATATTACAACAATTAACAATAAAACAAATGAAATACGTAATAATGATTTAAAGTCATTGTTCGAAGAATCCACCTTGACACTGATACACTTTACACAACGTTTTCTGAGAGATCTTTGAGTTTAAAACGACATATTGGGATTACGTCTGACTTTGTTGGCAGTGGTTTGTATTCTTTGCCACAACTCTTCAAGCGAACCAATAGATTCTTTGTAAGCTATATCTTTCATTCGAGACCAAATAGAAAAATTAAGAGGATTGAAGTCCGGACTTCTGGGTGGCCAAGCAAACATTTTTCCACGTTCAATTCAGGGATTTGGAAAAATTGCATCTAAATATGCACGCACTGGCCGAGAAAAATGCGGTAGAGCTGCGTCGTGCATGAACTACACGTCTCTTCTTAAATAAAGTGGAACTTCTTAAAGTCGTGGAAGCTTTTTGCTTGGCCACCCAGAAGTCCGGACTTCAATCCTCTTGATTTTTTTATGTGGTCTCGAATGAGACTTCAAACTCGAAGGACTCTCAGAAAAAGTTGTGTAAAGTGTGTCAGTATCAACGATGGATTCTTCGAACAATTACTTTAAATCATTATTACGTATTTCATTCGTTTTATTGTGAATTGTTGTAATAACATGAAGAAACACTTGATTTGTTTCGCTTTTAATTTTTCGTATTATCAAAATATAGTGTTCGTTAAATCGATTTTCCTCGAAAACGGATCGAGATACCGAAACGAAACAAGAATACATAATTAATGGGAAAATGATTGCTCTTTCAGGTTTTAAATCAACTTTCATGTTAGACATACAGGGTAAAAAATTATTAACTAAATTTTCGGTAAAATTGGTCGTAAGTGACGCCCTCTATGAACAACGCTGAAATTGCAACACGCACCTTATTTGTTGCGTAAAAAAATATAGTTCCACAAATTTTCAAGTTCCTAACCCACATATTTTCAGAATAATCGCACAAAAAATGATTTAAAATTTTAACTTTCAACACCCTATATTTCCGAAACTATCAACTTTCAGATAAGGCATGTTTGCGCCAGTGGTCACAATTTCACGTGTAGTATCTTCAGCTTTCGATTTCCCCACTGTTAATGAATCACCCTGTATATGATGGTTTCCACATTCAATTAAAAAATTAATAGAATAAATAACTACATAAACTAACTGATTCTGCCTGAAAAATGACAAACTTAATGAATTTCCAGGAATATCATCGGGTTCCTTAAACATCATCGTGTAAAAACTTGGTTGCACAGCCCAATATTAATACAATATAACTCAAATTTATCATCAAAAAAATGGATTAATTCTGTCTTTTTTTTTCAGTAATTACTGAAACATGTTTACATTAAAATGTAACAATTAGTTTGATATTTGTGCAATAACTTTTTTGATGTCTAACAGACTAAGAATATTTTTTTTTACATTTATAAATACAAATTAGAACGTAAAATAATAATCACTATATTACTAAATACAATATTTACTTAATATTCAGAGTATTCGGTCTTAACCGGCGATGTCGATCACAGGATTATACATCACTGAGGAATCCCCCAATCATCTCAATGTGTGTTTCACCATACTATATATACAAATACAAACACACACTTTCGCACAGGCACACATACACACACGTACTCACGCACACATACATACACACATACGTATATATATGTATGTATATATGTATATATATTGTATGTATGTATGCAGGTATATACATAATTCCGGTAACTGGCAGTGATGTGGAAGAAGAGAGGTAGGCCGCCTACGCATGTCGCTTCATATGGAGGGCTAAATGATCCGACCTACTAAAACAACGATCACAATGGCGACACTTAAAGGGTTTTGCTCCTGTGTGTTTGCGATAGTGTCGTGTTAATTCATCTGAACGGGCAAACCGCCACTGGCAACCTTCCCAAGAGCACTTATAAGGTTTTTCTCCTGAAAATGAAAAAATATATTAATGATATTTCTAAAACGTACGCAATGGAAAAAGAATGGTAGTGGACATTTATTGTTCCAAAGTTACAGGAAACTTCGTATAGTGAATAAACATATCGACGCGTTACTACGAAAACATGCTATCTAACATTGTACTTGGAAAACATGCTATCTCGGTTTGACTTGAAATTTAAGTTGGCTGCATTGGCGTTGAAATGCACATTGAATGATTAAACACGTGCACTTATAATAAACATATATTTTTCAAAAAGTAAGGAATATTTATGTTCAGGTTCACTGTTTATTTAATTTTTTTCATTCAACATTTTTCAATTAATTTTGTTAACTTACTGTTATAAACGACAAAATTGTTAGTGCAGATTCTGAAAATAATTTTATATGCCTAATACGGACCCTAAGGAGACTGCAATAAAAATGATTATATAGTGGACCAGGCTAGGCCCCAAGCTCCGGGTCCGAATCATTCTTACTGCACCTCAATAAAAACAAATGGCTTCTTAAAGGTGCGGTAGCCGCGTGCTTGCATAGACTTTGGAAATGAAATGCAGGTATGCGACACTTTTATTACTGGTACTTTGTGATCTGCTGGATATCGATGCGACGGGCGCAGAGCATATGATATGCACGTGCACGTTTCCGCGGTTCCCTGTGCACACATGTTTATCGTACATATCATTCAACTTTACACATTATATTTATATTCTGGTTATTATGTTAGCTCTATTAATGAAATTTTATGAATAAATGATGCTTTCTACAAATTGTTGCATCTTGTTCAACGCCAATGCAGCCAACTTAAATTTCTAGTCAAACTTACTTCTGTGTGAGATAGCATGTTTTTACTTAAAGATCTGGGCTAGCATGTTTTTCAAGCTAAATTTGAGATAGCATGTTTTTGTAGTAATGCATCGATATCAAAATTTATAAAAGAAGTGAAAACGTCTTATATTTCTTATGGTACGTAAAAAATTTAGTGTAGGTATAAGTTTCAAAAAGAGCAATTAGAGCTCAGCAATTAAGAGGAAACAAGTGTGGAACAAGTGTCATCATTTCATCTATCGCCATATCAGCAAAAGGTTGTAGCAAGGAGGAGTGCATTTTGAGAATATCATTAATTAAATATTTGTGAAATAAGATAAGGCCTTTATTTGGTCGAATTTAACATTAGATGTTTAAACTCTATTTCATTTAAAAAAGTACCACAATATTCGTGTAGATGTCACTACAGTAAAAATAGCACTACTATTCTTTTTATGCATAATATTCGAAAATTTTTATAATCACAAGGAAAAACTTATTTTCCTAGGTAATTGTATAGAGAACATTAAAAATGTACTAAAACGAATGTAACTTTGCAAGAGGGCAAAAACGTGAGAAAAGAATACAGTTCAAATTGTAAATTTTATATATTTCGGATGTAGAATTAGGCCTACCCAATTCTAGTATCTAGTACTTACAGAATGTGTAGAAATTATTTCTTCTGAAGCTTCGACTTTTTCTCGACTGTTTCATTGTTTGTTCATATTTAAAATGTAAATTAATGGGTTGGGCAATAAGTAATATGTTTTTTCTTAAACTTAAAAATTCACATGAAAATTAAGCACATTGTAAAAATTACTACGCAGGCGTGTAGCTATGGGGAGGGAGGCAGGGGTGGTCGTGACTTCCCCTCTCCACCCCCCCTAGAGAGCCGTATAACAACCCCAGAAAAAAAAAAACAATCCAATATCATCTCTTTAGTCGGACTAGCTGGCTGACCAGCTGGTCCCTCAAGATCTCACCTCAAGCAGAAATCCTACCTACACCCATGGACATATGTCATTCGAAAGATAACTTATTGCTCTATCAGGCTGTGTTTTTGATTGCTCCGTTAGATATTATTTCTGTGAATTTTCATTCATTTGAAATGGAATGTCAATGTTGATAAAATTGATTATTTTGCTTCTTTTTGTTTTTAATCCAAACAGGGAAACTGCTAAAGCCGCTCAAGCAGCTCGGGAAATTTGTGCGGTATATGGTGACGATGCGATGAATGAACAAACGGCCTGATGGTTTTTGCTTTTTAAAGAACAAGAACAAGGCCTACCAATGGAGGCCACATCAGACCAACCACTCCTGGATCATGAACAATATCACTATAATGTTAAAGAAGTACTTTATCCAAATGTATAAAATTAGAGAGGATGTAATTGCTGTTGTAGCTCGTCTTGAGAAAAGTATTGTAGATATTAATACTGTGCTTTCACAAGAGGTGTCCTATTTTATCAGTACATCCTTGTATATATAGAAGTTATGTTGCTGTTAGGTATTCCTCTTCTTTATTCTTAGATATCCTACAGATGACTTGTTAAAAATTTATGTTGGTATGAAAAATATATCATCAACATAATAACATATCTGTTGGAAGGCAATAAATTGGGGTTTCTTGAAACACAAAATGAATGATTTTTATTTACAGCTATTTATAAGTATTATTTCAACTAAATGAAGGAAAGTTTAAAACAACTATCTGGACTATAAACAGACAATATGGTTAATTTTCATTGCTCCTTTTAACATTTATTCCTATGTTTTCAAATAATTTGTCAGTATTAAACTGCGAACACTTCGTTAACACATTACATATTAAAATATTCTTAATTGATGTTAAAACCGTTCCATGTTTATATATTTTTTTTCTATATCATTGCACCACGATATATAAATTTTTTTTAAATTGCAGTATTTAAGTTTCTAGTAAGAGAAAAAAGTGTCGGTATCCAAGCAAGGCTCCTAATTTTGATATCCATTTATCTCAACAAACTTAATCTCAGATCAGTTGCATCTTAATTGAATTGTTTGCATTCTACAAAATTTAATCGTTATCGTTACTTGTTATAAATATGACTCTCATTCATTAGAACAAAAAAAAAAGGATTGTGAAAGATGAAAATGGTGTCTTGATATCAAGGAAAGGTTTGAAAGAACCGATTAATGATTTTGTGAGAAAGAGTTAATTTTTTTCTCATTCCTTAAAAAATGAAGCCAATGAAATGATATGAATTTAAATTCATCTTATCAGGGATATTTTAATGAAATTCTTGGAGTAGGTTACATATTAGTTGCATCAAACATACCTAGACATCTTAACTCATTCGAAAAACAAAAGCAAAATTTCGTGGATAACGTTGATAATACTATTATAGTATTTTTTTTGAGGGATGTAAAATAATCTTACGATGTTCAGTTTTTAATTTAATAGCATTCTAGATGCACACCACAAATTCCATTTTGCACTTTTTAAAAGATTATCGCCTCGAAGAAAAATCACTACTTAATAAACCTTTCTAATTTGGTACAAAACTATTTTGGGGGCCATTTTACGGTGTAATTTTTTTTTGTAAAAAAAAGTTTTTCTGAAAATTAAACAATAATAATAATAATAATAATAATAATAATAATAATAATATCTCTACTCCTCATTCTAATTACGAGAATTAGCCCAGAAGTCGGAGACTTGTGCGGGAGAGGAGGCGGCATATTATTATTACGCAGGCCGCATTTGCGCCCAGGAACGACTTATGTTGGTAGGCCCTAACCACCATTCAGTGCAGGAATGAGGGAAACCTGGAAAACCTCATTAATTAGGGAGGTGGTCAAATGCCAACTGGTGTCAATCTCTCACATTGACCCAAGCCAACATTCTTCCACCCTACCATACCTGCACAGAGGGCGCCAATCCTCCGTACAAGTATAGAACAATAGTTGACAAATAATGATCTTTAGAGCCCTACCCATCAAAAAATTGTCCCACATGATTCCGTCACTCTACTTGTCTACATTTAAGGGGGGTGTTAACACGAAAAGCCAAACACACTGTATGTGAATGTGACAAAATGAAGACATATGTAAAATGTTCTGCCAGTTCAGAATATGCTGTCAGAAAAACAAATGAATTTCAATTTAAAAAGATAAAGCCTGAAAACTGATGTTTTAAGAAAAAGAATAACATTTTTTTGCACCTAGTGATATAGGTATTCGTTAGAATCATTTCGATAGGTACCTAGTTAATAATTTTAATTACGATTCAGGGTATCTCTAAAAGATCTTTACAAAATGTTACTATATGTTATTTGGGCCGAAATAAGTCGATTTAAATAAACTTACCTTAGTTTGGGCGCTAGATGGCCCTGAAGTGTCAATTTTTAAATTTTATGTTTTTTGTTACAATTTAAAATGACATAAGATTTTACAAAAAGGTACATTGACATGATGGTACAAAAAACCCATATCAAAAACTGTGATAACGATTAATCCATATGTGTAGAATGGCGATATTTTTGTTACTGAATTTTCCAAATTTCTACACCAATGAACGAAAAGTGTTGTACGTGTAAAATTTGTATTAGGTATCTCATTTACTGTAAAAAAATTTGTTATTTGTTATTTAATAATTGTGAGTATATTTTATGATAAGATGAAGTTATGAAAACATCATATCAAAACGTTCACGTATGACACCTGGAGCCAATACTGAGTGTTTATGGATATGTTGCTTTTGAGTGTGTGATTAATTGCAACATTATGTAACACCTGCTCTCCGTACTTATATCCCATACATGGGTGCAAAGTTTGTCCATCCATGTTGTTATGAAATACTTTGCTACTGTGTTACTTACATATGTTAATTTGGATTATGCTGTTCATAGCATTAACGATAGTACGTAAACAATGTACCACTTTTTATTGTAGAGTAGCTGATTTCATCCTTACCTACCCACACAACAGCTGAGCTGGTCGAGATCTTATTTTTGTTACTTGAAACTGCTCTATATTTAATAAATTAAGAATTTTGAGATTTGTCTTATGGCATTCTTTTATTCTGAAAGAATGAAATGTAAAAGTTAAGAGCAATAGAGAAACAACAAGTTTCAAAATCCTAAAATTTTAATTTTTCCAAGAACCAGAGCACAATTAAATCTCTTTTTACTCAAGATCTAGCAATTTTAAGGTAAATTGGTAATAAACAGGCAGTTTTTATAGAGATTTGAATGGGCATTTCATAAATTAAATAAATATTCTCAAAAAAATTCACGGATATAGAGAATATTTTCAAAAAGTGGCATATGACTTATTAGAGGACGTATTTTTCTGCACTTTATACCCTCCGTACCAAATTTAATTTAATATCATTTGTGCTTCCGAAATATTACTCAAAAACTATAAGGTGAATTGATAGGATCTTTTTTTAAACCAAATTTTCTACCACCTGTGAGTTGTGGAAAATTAGAAATGGGGCACCATGTATATGTTCTAGGACTGCGAATTAATTTTGAGGGATTTACAATAGATGGCGTTTATGCTATATCACATCAGACACTTCTGCAACTATATTCATGTCAAAGCCCTGTCTGTCAAGATGTCAAATTACGGTCCAACACAGGTGTTGCTGAAAGACGTCGAATGCTGTTGGAAATTTTCGACGTTTTAGAAGTGATGATTTCAATACAGTTGACAAATAATGCCCTGATCAACGAAAAAGTTCGAAGACAAGGAATTGAAAGCATTACTCGATCAAAATTCATGTCAAACGCAAGATGAACTTATTGAATCATAATGTTGATCGCACAATAGTATCCAAATGTTTAAATGCACTTGCTATGATTTAAAACCAAAGGAATTGGGTGCCATACGAATTGAAACCGATATGTTGAATGACGATTTTTCAAGTATTCAATTGTTTTTTTTGCATTGGATCATCACTGTCGATGAAAAATGTATATGCTATGACAATCTTGTATCTCTTATGCTTTACGAGATGCCACTGGCAGAAATTAATTTTTCTAACAATTTCTCTTGATCACTTTCATTACAAAAAATTTTCTTTCTATGCTCTGAGATAAACCGTTTTCCAGATTACCGATGCACATAAACACTTTAAACCTCCAGAATAAGATCTAAAAGTTTTATGTTGCAGTGCATATGGCATTTAATCTTTAGATCTAATCTGGACACTTAGTGTCTAGGCCTGTAGCCAGCCCTCGATATGGCTTCATCCATATAAAAATTCAAAACCGCACAAAATAAAAATTAATGTTACTAACCTGTATGTGTCCTCTGATGAGCTTTTAAATGGGAACTTTTAGTGTAAACTTTTTTACATCCAAGAAATTGGCACTTATGTATTCTTCTTTTAGAATCCGGCGAATGATCTAAGCGATTATGGTGTTTCGTAGGTGTAGAATTGGTTGATGAAGATGGAACGTGAGTTGGAGGTCTAGGAACTACGGATATGTACCTAGTTACGCCGGAGGCTCGCACTCTGACTATTGTATTTCTGTGTCCCTGTGTATTACTAATGCGAAGTCCACAGACGTCCAAATCACTAGCGGTGGAACTTCCATTACTATGTCCTAATTCCGATTCAGGACTAGAAGGAGGAGTCAGTGTTTCTGTATTTCTTGAAATTAACCGTAACTGTAAAGCATCTCTTACGTCAGAATGTACCCGATTTTCATAACTCTCGTTATCTTCATCGTCATCACTATCGTCTTCGTCATCGTTCTCTTCATCGTCATCCTCATCGTCTACAGGTTCCTGTTTTACTAAAACTGCACAAGACAATGCACCATCCCATGAACATGTTGAACTGGCCGAGCTTAATGCATCAAAGTGACTATCACTAAAGTCTTCTATACAATTTACCTTATACCAAATTCTACTTATATCGGAAGGGAGCGTTTTGTAGGTTTTCATTTTTGGTTCATCTTTCAAATACCATTCCATTTCATAACATGTCTGTAACAAATTATTCTGAATTAGTTGCATGTTAGATTGATAGACTAAGTGTAATAAGAGATTGGTTTTCCAAACAATGGCGTTGAAGTTTTTTTAAATATATTGATAAAGTGATGAACTGCCAGTAACTGCATTTTATTTGTATACAATTATGAAGCGTCGTCATTAAAAACTTCAGTTTTTTTTAAATACTTATGCCTACATGTGAATCTTAAATGTTAAATAACTTTAAAATTAATTGTTTTATGATAAAAGTCAATAGAAATTCTGTAAATTATGTTATACTGGCTGTGGCCACAAATATGTACATGACACAGAGTGCCCAGACATTTATGATCATTTAAAGTTTGGAGTCAGAAATTATATACAGGGCGTGATTGAAAAGTTATAAATAAAGACGAAGAACTTAACTTTTCTGTTGCCCTCACAGTTTTCTTAATAGAAATATTAAATAATAAGTTTTCTCGAATGTCCTTGAAAATTCTTATATTTATTTTATCCATCTAAAATGCCTGGAAAGTCACTTTATTTTATTCGTACACAAAATTTATTAGATAAATTAATATTAAGTAAATAACTACAGCTAAATTGATTTTTTTTCTAAAAAAAACAGGCACAATAATTGGACAATAATGTATTGACCCATTACTACAACTAAATTTCGATTTTGTTAGTTATTATTTGAACATCCTGTACAATTTTCTGAGATTTTCTGCTACAACTTGTTTATCTCTGACAACAACCCCTAATAAATTATTTTCAATCGGGGTATTACAAAATTGTAATTAATTTTTTTAGAGCATTGTTAATTGTATATTTGTCAAAACATATTAGCAACTTTAAATACTTTTTATTACAACATTCACTTCACTTTTCATAATATGCTGCCGTTTAAAAAAATTGGAACATTGGAGTACCCTGTATACGCCGCCATATTCAATTTCCTAAATCCCGAGAAAAGAGACGGAGACACAGTTGAAAAATTTTTTGTATCTTCTGACAAACTAGGTCTCTACACTAACACCTATTTCAATGAAATTTCGCTAAATATAAACTTTTTTGTTCATTTATGATTACTCTATCTTATGCTGAAGTAATGCCAGTCAAGCTTCTTACACCCTGTATATCAACACTTTCTAAGACGAATTGTTGTACGACCTCTCTTTATATCAACTTTTTTTATTAGAATGAAGTCTTCTAGTGACTGTAAATAAAGTTTGACCACAAAAAGTTAAGTCACTGATAAAAGGACATAAAACAAATAAACAAATCGTAAAGAATCACTTGCGACAATTTTTAATCAATTATTTTCCGTTTTGAAAACATAAGACAAGCTTCTGAAACGTTAATTGAAAAAAATCTCTCTAAATACAAAGATTTACAATTTTAAAATGGGCAAAAAAACTTTGTCCCTCGTTGTTTTTTTTTTGTAATTTTGTAATCACAATTACTGATATATTTTTCCTGTTTTTTCCTTTGTAATTGAAAAGTTATTTACTGTCCGACTTGATTTTCTATTTTTTTAAGTATAACTATAATTCTTTGGTGAGTCAAGGTTCTTGAAAAATTGGTAACCCTAAATTATAGAGACGATTTAAATTATAAACTGAAAAAAATCTTACAACAAATTCATTTTAAATGAAATGTATAAAATACTGTGAATGATAAATGTACGGGCATGTTTAGTTTTATACTTTTTGTGTTTTGTAGTTCTATACATAAGCCTTAATATCTTGTTGACATTGTGTCTCGTAATGGAATGCGATTAAGTTCCCCAGTAATGCCATAAAACCTATCTAAAAGAATGTTATCTAAATATTAAAAGTAAGATAAAAAATTATAAGAATTGCTGAAGGCTCATTGATGAGGATGAGTTACGTTTTAGATTCCAATTTCCAATGCAGTGTTAAAAAATCACGCAAATATATACATGCTACATTTATGTGTACGAGGGTCATCCAGAATTTAAAATTTCATTTGCTACCAGAACGGAACAGTGAAAGTTAATTACAATATATTGAAGTAGACACTTCAAAAAAACGGTATTTACATAATACGAACAGCTCCATAAAAACCCAGTCAATTGCGAAATGTGCGGTATTTTACCTTTTTTAAGACCTACTGACACTGTTTCGTGTAACAAAGTACTACAATATTGACAAGCTTTGAAAAAACGTTAGATATCTGATAAGGGTTAATCAAATTGAAATAATAATTTTCATATATCCGTAAATAAAAGTGTTTTTGGTAATAAGGCGCTTCAAGTTTTTCCCGACTTTTCAAATTGGTGTTGATTAATGAATAAAAATATAAATAAATGTTAAGTTATGTTAAGATAGAATAGATTCATCCAGGAAGTGACGAACCGTAACGCGCTAAATTAGAACAACTCGCTTTAAATTTTCGCATTGAAAAAATCACGGAAAACATGTAAACATCAGAAAATGTTTTGTCCAGCAAATTTATGCTGTTGCTGTTTTAATAATTTCCTAAAAGCAATCTGCGGGATGTGATTATGTTTATAATACTGTACGCGATTTTCTGTTGTGTTCAACAGGCGTGCAAAATTCAGGGAACCTACGAGGTAAAAATATGCTTCTTTTTCCTTATTTTGAATGTATTGTCAGTTGCGTTGAAGAAAACTTATATAACTAGTACAGTGAAGATATTGTTTCTAACTTGCTTAGATTTTTTAAAATGCTTGACAAAAAATTGCGCATATAAATATCCCCCTTAATAAACATAAATTTTCAAAATCATATTTCAAAAAACAATATTTATATGTGACAATTTTAAATATTTCGTTCTTTTTTCACAACACTGAAAATTTACAAAAAGAAATGGAAATGATCCCTAGACAACCTTTTGTAAACAAATACTTTAAAAAAAGCTACAACGGTTGCTATAATTTTAACAACTTACATGAAGAGAAAATTATACTAATATAATCACATTTTTAGGTTTTAATTTATTTTTAATTTTCGAATAAACCAGTAAAAAACATTTTTAATTTCATAAAATACCACTAATAAAAAAAATAATATAACGATAAATAAGTATTGTTTCAAACACATTTTGATTCGCGATAATTCTCTCGGGATCAATCAAACAAATTTGAGTTCATCAGATACACTTTCTTGCCAAGAGATTTGCTGTCGTTTTGATTTTTAGCTCCCAAGCCTGACCGAACCATTAAAAGGAAACACTTTGTACAGTGTGATTCACTATATTTTGACCCCCCATTAACTTTTTGATTTTAGAGTTATAAAAAAATGTGAAATACAAAAGTTGCACAATTTTTTATGAATATTTCGAAAATTGCCACGGATGATAACTTTATTAATTTAAATGGAACACCCTGTATATTATTAAATATTTGGATAGAACGTTCTCTGTCGAGCATAGTCTATGTCTATAGGGTTTGTTCGGTCCATCTCTAACAATAAGCGAGATACCATTAAAAAATGAATAAAAGGTTTTTTATTAAGAAAATAAGATATTTTGTAATTGTAAGACTTCTTTGAAACATTTCTATCTTTTTCCAATTACGTAAAGATTTACAGATTTAGTTGTAATATATTTTGACATATCGGACATTGGTATGGTCCAAAATGCATATAGGTATTTTAACTAAATCCACTAATTAACCGTGAGAGGCCTAATTACTCATGGACAATGTTATATGGGAGGCCGTGATAGTGACAGGTAATGTCATGACAACACTGTTATTGTTTGTATTATTATTTAATTAAAATAGGTTACACAGAAGTAGAAAATTGAAATATTATAGGAATTAAAATAGCATAGTAAAAATCTTCTCCGTACTCTACTTTAATTCCTAATATTTCAATTTTCTACTTCTGTGTAACCCATATTAATTAAACATTAATACAAACTGTCAGACAAAACAATGTTGTCATGACATTACCTGTCACTGTCACGACCTACCATGTAACATTGTCCAAGTGAGATTTAGTTAAAATACCTATAGGCATTTTGGACCATATCAATGTCCGATATGTCAAAATATATTACAACTAAATCTGTAAATCCTTACGTAATTTGAAAAAGGCAGAAGTGCCTGAAAGAGATCTGACAATTACAAGATGTATTATTTTCTTAATAAAAAACCTCCTTTTCTTTTTTTAATAGCATCTCGCTTATTGTTAGAGATGGGCCCAACAAGACAGAGAACTTTCTATCCAAATATGTAAAAATATTCAGGGGGTTCCATTTAAATTAACAAAGTTAACATCCGCGGCCATTTTGTTTGGACTTCATTTGTTTTTCAAATATCATTTTCGAAAAATTCATAAAAAATCGTGCAACTTTTGTATTTTACATTTTTTTTATAAATATAGTTAAAGGCGGGGGTCAAAATATAGTGAATCACCCTGTACAATGTATGGTTATGATTAAAAATGCATTTGGGTATATCGTACAAATGTTGGGTATTCATAGTCGTACATAGTTCATGTTCATACACATCTAAAATATGGACCCGTTTTTAAAACAAAATCTGCGGGCAAGCAAGAAATTTATGAACCGATACCATACTTGCTCAGGCACATGCTTAACTACATACAGAATGTTTATAAATACTGCCCTAAATAACCAAGTCTGTAAATTCCTCACAGTGGAGGATGTGCCATAATCGGCAGAGAATGGGTTTACTGAAATTCTAGTCTTACTTACCTTTTATGTACAGGGTTATCCGCATATGTAATATTGCCCCTTATTGCTGTTTTCTCATTTACAAAATAACTGTATGGGCGAGTGTATGGACCAAAGTTGTAGAAAATTTGTAGAGTTGAAAAGAAAATAATTCGATTTCGATAAATTTGCGTGCGGTATAAATCTAGACACTCGACTGGTTTAAATATACATTTATTAACCCTGTATTTTTTTAAACATAACACATATTGTTACATATTTGGATAGAGCGCCTTATCAAGATTAGAATTATACAAAGTTTGATAGATCTATCCAATAATATAGAA